CAGCATCGCTCCCATCCACAATTGCATCACATTTTCTTCGAACCACATGAAAACGTCCACACAATTTCCGCCAACCATCGCCGCCCCTTGGCAAGTACATAAAACGCACACCAGCACATCGTCGCAAAAAGGCACAAGCACAAAAAAATAAAATTCGCTCTCAAAGACTTGTCTTCATTTATCAAGAACACATCCCCTTGACCCCCCTGTCTTGCCGCCAATTCCAATCCTTCCATTCGTTTCAAGTCGTTGAATGTGGAGCCGACAGATAAGCTGATACCGTGGGATGCTGCGCAATAGTAACGCCCCTTCATGCGAATATTCCTCCGATCTAGTACTCTAACAACACGAGCAGCCACATACGCTTGCCCAGCATTTTTGTTCACTGCATACTTTGTGCATACCAGCCCCTGGCATCTTGATTCACTCTCGACACAGGCCCCTCCCCCAGGGGCTCCCACCGCTACTTTCCTTACTCACCCTCACAGGAAGATGATGTAACGATCTAGCGCCATGTGCCAGGGGCAGCGTCACGGGCATCAGCGTCACATTTCACTATGCCTTTTCGCCCGTTTTGCTTTTTTGGCCTCGTGGCAGCCTGCACCGCGCCGGCATGACACATCATCGCCCCTGCCAAGCAACTCCCACAGCCGGAGGCCCAAGTCCTTAGGCCCAATGAAGGGCCCGAATTAGGGCCCGCTCCAAAGCGGGCTCCTAAACATGGGCCTTAAATTTAGGCCCTAAATTCAAGGACCATCAGACCCTAAATTTGCGGCTTGACGCCTGCCCGCCCGATTCCCCAACCCCAACGCCCCATCCGGCCCCCCACAGCGCACCAATCGCAACACCGTCAGACTCCACTCAGAATTAGCCCCGCCCAAAACTCCGAACCCTAATTAGGTCAACCGCAGCAAGGTCCATGCACATGTGGTCAACGCATCCTGCTGGTCAATGCAAGCGGTCAGCGCGAAGTCAACGGTGAACGCGGGCATCCCGTTCACATCAGCCCCAGCGCCCGACGCCGACCGCCGCGCTCAACACGATCCTATGGGCGACGCCCTCTTCAAGCGCCCCATCGAGCATCCGCCCCCGCGCCGGGCCGCCCGCATTACCCTATTCCCCGTGGGTGTTTCTGGCAGCGCGTTCTGACAACGTTTGTACCTTGGCCCATGTACGTACACATTCCCATGCTTCCCCTCGAGGAAGGTCAAAAGGCCTTGCGCGCCCTAGCCTGGCGCCCGCAGATCCTTCCCGGGCCCCAGGCTCGGCCCTGCTCCCCCCTGGCCGCCTACCGGCCCCGGCCCAGCCCAGCGCGCAAGCCCAACAAAGGATCCCCAACACGCATCCAGCCATCCAAGCATTGACGCAATATCGATTGACCTCGCACCAATTTCGCCGCCGTGGGCGCGAACCAGCATTTCGTGCTCCCCTCCCCTCCCTCTCAGCTGGGCGGCCACACCCACAAACGCCCAAACAGTCCCCAAATCTCCCGCGCGGAAGCTTCCCAGGCCAGCCGCCGCGCGCCCCCTCCTTCCGCCGATCTCCCACCTCCTTCGCGCTCCCACCTCCGTCCCCGCGCCACCGCGACTGTCCCCACTCCCGCCTCCCCCTTCGCTTAATTAATGGAACTTTTGCCAACATGTCCGATAGAAAACCCCCTCAAAAAGCAGAATTTTTGACTTCCCAGTCCCTCCCCCCATCTTCTCTTTCGCCCTTGCATACCTCAGCCCCTGTGCACTTCCCCCCGCTCCCCGTCGCCAATCTCGCTCCCTTCCTCTGACGCCTCTTGAACAGGTTCCAGCGCCCTCCGGGCCAAAAAGAGCGATCCGCAGACACCGCATGTTTGCCCTCCTGCTTCTCGCTTGTACAACACGCGCCCCGCGCCCACGGACTTCGACTCGTCCGACTTCACTCGCGACAAAATGTCTTTCAGATCAATCGGCCTGGGGGGCGGTCGAGGAATCCTAACCCCGTTGCTGATCTCGATGGGTCGGCTGCGCCTGCCAAGGACCGCACCCGGTAGCTCCCCCACCCGATTGGGCCCCGATCCGCGCAAAGGGGGGGAGGAATTGCGACGGGCATTGAAGTTGAAATTGGCCTGTCGGGGAGGTGCGGGCGGAATGGCGTGCTGCTGCTCGGCTGCGGGGCCGAGCGGAAGCCCGCCCCGCGGAGTGCAGTCGCGCGCCGTGGGCATGGCCGCACCGCTGCGGCATCCATGCGACACGGGGCGTGTGCTGGGGGCCCAGTAAACCTCCCACGGTGAGAAAAACGCGGCTTTATTTACAGGAGGGGGTTTGACGGGGGCCCACGTGGAGCGGGGTGTGACATGGGGGGTGGGGCGAAGCGGGCGGGAAGCTGGACAGGGCCGGAACAGTGAGAGATTGGCGGGTTGGGGGAATACGACGCGTGAGTGTGCGCGTCTCTCCCTCCACGACGCGGCCGGGGCGTGGGCGCTGACGCCCCGCTGACCCGCCGCTGATATTGCAGTGACTGGCCCGTGGTTGACTATAAAGGGACACGCCTGTCCGCGATCTCTCTGTAACTCTGTTGCCTCAGCTGTGTCTCCAAGCCCGTGGCCATGCCTGCCTCTGACATAGTCCCACGCCGAGTCTAGCGCATCAGCAGTGGTTGCGGACCGGGAGCCTCAAGGGTATGGCGTTGCGTCATGCGCAGTTGACCGAGCGGCGCGATGACATGGATCTGAGGCGATGTTGCAACTCGAACTGTCTGCCAGTCAGTCAGTATTACTCAATGAGTATTGTTAACAGCTGGAAGCATGGAGAAGTGATGAGGCGTTAGGAATTGCATTGAGGACATTGATTAGCGGAGAGGACATCAGGGACGCAACTCCTGTTGTCCCTTTGCTCGGCTGTAAACCGTTCCCATGGACTCGAGCCTGAGGTCCCCGTTCAGGGATCGCCATCCCTCCACCCTGCCCTCCTTCGTCAGCGCATTTTTGGGCAACGATACGCGCGTGATTGAGTTGCGGATTGTTGCATCGCCATTGGGGACTGCCATACACCAATACGCGCTATGTACGTGCCATGCACGTGGCGGTCAATGTCAGTTGGTATGAAGGTGAAGTGGCATTCATGTTTCCAGTATTGATGCGCTCGGCTGCACCAAAACTCTTTCTTTGCAGCATGATGCACAATGGGCGGCATGGCCTGGGCCTCGCAACAGAGACCCGTTGGGTCCTTGGCAAGGAGACAAGGCCAAAACCAGGTCGATTTTGATGCCACCACCAGTCCACGTCAGTTCACGTTTAATAATTCCCCAAGCCGCAGCCCTCTAGGTTTGGATCCAAAACCCCGGCTGGGCCGCCCGGCCTTCAATCCGCAAACCCTCAGGCCCCAGGAGGGCAGATATGCGCCATACACCCCGAGTTCCTTTGCTGAAACTTACATTTTAGCGACAAAGATGTGCTGCAGGCACGCCAAATTCCATTTCTGAAAATCGCCTTCAAAAGACAAAGAGATGCGCCAGATGCGCCGAGTTCTCTTGCTGAAGATTTGTTCTCTGGAGGCAAAGAAGTGCGCCAGATACGTGTCTTATACGCATCTTAACCATGTCTGATACGTATCTGGAACGTATCTGATGTGCATCGGATACGCATGCTCACCGACATCCCCCCTGCCCTCCGCGATCACAGCCCTCGCCTCCATGCGCCCCCGCCCCCCCAAAAGTGCTTTGGAGGTGGGCCCAAAACAGTATTTTTGTTTTCTTCTTTTATCTTTTTTGTGCTCACATTCATTCCCGTCGCCAAGCAGCAATTCGATTGCACCGCGCCGGCAGCGCAATCTCCAAGCTCGCCGCCAGCCACTAGCGCCAACATCGCGTCGTTCCTCAAATCGTACCCAGGAGCCCACCCTGGGCCCGAGGTGCCTTCCCATTCTGTCCCCCCCGTTTCCCGGTCCCTCATTCGTCACTCCCGCGTTCATCCGCAGACCCCAACTGACACGCGCCAATTGATCATCCCAAATCGCCCATTCAACCCCATCACCCTCGATAATGCATCATCAATTTGCGATGCACAAAATGCATTTAATTGCACTTAAATAGACCCGCACTTGTCCCCCAGGTCCAGCATTGGTACCCCTGGACCGCCACAGGTACCCCTGGACCCACACTGGCCCCCCTGGGTCAGCGTTGGTTCCCCAGGTCTAGCATTGATCCCCCCCCAGACCGGCGCTGGTCCCCGGGTCCTGGCCCTCACACCAGCAGGGCCTCAAGTTCCGCCTTGCCCTTGCACGACGGGCATATCTGCCCCGCCGGCGTGTTTCCGTCCTTGTTCACGGCCCCCTTGTCCGCGCCCTCCCTCACCAGCAGCCTTGCCACCTCCACGCTGCCGAAGGCCGCCGCGTAATGCAGCGGCGTCCACTTGCTGCCGTCCACCGCGTCGATGTCTGCGTCCGCGTCGACTGCATCGCAAGATTTTACCAGAAGCTAGTTGTAGACGGAGAAGAAGATTTCTTGCATGTCACCAGTAGACAATGACGTCATTGCAATGACGACTGCGATGCCATCTGACACTAACTGATGCCATCGCAGGTGCTATTGTGCCGTCGCAATTACAGAGGTGGCCACAGTTACACTAGCAAAAAAAGCAAAATAAAGTAAAGAATAACACGTTCATCAGTGTTCTGCATGCTAAAAACATGAACATAGCACAAACCCATAAATTTTGCACACGTTTGAACACGTGTTAGTTGGCCCTTTTTTTTCTAGTGCAATGACCACAACAGGTGCACAGATTTCAAGTTTCAATAGCTAAAGCAGTAGGCAAAATCACCACAATCAACACACAAGTTCCAATTGTTTTCAACGAGCTTTTCCAACATGCAGCAAGCCCCAATGGCTTAGCACGACTCGAATGCCAATCCGACTCGCATGAGCGCCACGATCTCTGGAGATCGTGGATCTTCGGCAGATCCGCCGGCCGACGGCCCACCCACCAGAAGCACTGTCGCACTTACGGCGCCGAAATGTACTCAAACCAATCACTTCACACAATCGACAAAGTAACGAACACAAGAATTACTTGTTTCCAGCAATTTAAACCAGTTTCCACCAGGATCCAGCGGCTCATCACCACTCCAGCGCCGACCAAAATTGTGGGAACGACGCAGTATACGCCTGGCGCGAAACAAAACGAACAAAACAGACACAAAACAAAAGAGGAAAGAGAAAAACGCTCCCCGGCACCGCGCCCCACCCAGCAGCACGGTCACGTTGAAGGCGTCAAAATGCGCAGCATCGTGCAGCGGCGTCCCTTCAAAACCATCCCTGGACTCGGTGTTGGCCCCTGCTTCAAGCAGAGCCTCGGCCACCACCGCGTTGTTGTGCTCCGCCGTTTGGTGCAGGGCGGTGTCGCCAAACGTGTCCGCGCAGCAGGCGTCCGGGTTGGCGCCGGCGTCCAGCAGGGAACGGACCTCGGCGGCCGTGTCCGCGTCGGCGGGGCGGGCGGCCAGCCGAATGAGTTTCTGTCAATGAGCGGGAGGCAAGGAACCGGCGTGTCAGATTCCATGCAGTTTCGTCTAATGCCATTTGCGTCATTTTTGGTCAGTCTATGCCATTTCACGTCAGATTAGGTCAGCTTACGTCAGTTTGCGCCAGCGCACCTCAGTTCATGCCAGCGTATGTCGCTTCATGTTAGTTTATGTCAATGCATGTCATTTCAAGTCAGTTCGTGTGATTTTGGGTCAGTTCATGTTGGCTAATGTCAGTTTGTGTCAGCTTGTGCCAGTAAGTGTCAGTCCAATTCAGTTTATGTGGGTCAGCGGAGGGAGGAAGAAGGGGCGAAGTGTGGCTCGTGGGCTTTCTTGCGGATCGGTTTCTGCCGATCATCGGAATTAGGCAAGAAGGAGCAAAGCCGGTGTGACAATTTGCTGTGAAGGGTGAAGGGCGATGCGTGGCGGGGGCATCCGGGATGTATCAATCGGGGGGACTGGCCGGCCCGGGCAATGAACATCCGGGATGCAGGCATACACATGGAGCGTGCCTTCTTTACATTCCGCAACTATCCGCATTAAACACGAACCTTGTTTTATATTGTCACTGTGCCTATGCTAGTTCTCCGCCTATGTTTCAATGCCCTGTTCTTTGCACAGGGTGTGTATGGCCAGCGTGGATACAGGAACCTGCCTTGTCAAAGATGTGCCAATTTTCATACACGAACTCCTGCTATTATTCGTATAGTTTAGTTACTTATCCATTGCTGAAGTTGCATTTTTTCATTCACAAGCCTATGGATCCGTTATTGGACATTTGCGTCTGTGGCGACCATATAGAAATACGTATTTCTAGAGATCTTATAGTATCGTCCAGAGCAACCTTCATGCAGGCTCATGTTCAGCGTCACTGGCAAGCGCATGCGCTTGGGCTAGCACCGCATTTTGACAGCCACTTGTTGTGCTTCTTTGGTGCGCTCTCCGCCAAGGACTAATCAATCATTGCCCGCAGTGTGGTAGTTGCTCCCATTTGGTGACGCTAACGGACTCCGTGACCGCAAGGAGAGGCACTCACCTTGTCCAATTTCTTCTGCTGTTTGGGCGAGAGTTTGTTTGGCTCTGCGAGAGGTTCGCCTTCAGCCTGAATGGTCACAGCACCGCCTTCTTAAAACACTCCATTGGAAAGAAGTTTTCGCTCAATTAAAGAAACTCTGATTTATTTCGTCAAATGACATTCTACTTCGTTTGCATTGCTTAACACATGCATGATGGAACGCCCTGTCGAGATGGGCGGCCAGCTGCAGTTGCAGTCCCGTGTCAACGCAAATTTTGAAAACAAGAGCCTTTAAGAAACCAGTACAATATTTTGCACCGCACACATTTTTGGAAAGTATTCAATGGTGCTAAACTACGGAAAATGTGCTAAGCTACTGAAAATGTGCATTGCTTCAATTAGTCAGAGTAGCAAGATGTCAAATGGTCTAGAACCGCACCTCGACAGGACTAAATCATATGCGTTTAACTCACAATTTATCCTTGACATAATTAACACATGCTTCACTACAATGTTGCCATTCCTAATTTCTAATTCTTCTTCTCAGATACATTTGTATCTTTGTGTATAATCAGTATCATGTCCAGGTGTCTTGCTGCCCAGCAATTCAAGGAACTGCAGGCCACAACAACACCCCCACACAATTTGCTTTCCCCCAAGAACCTTCGCCGAATGCAATAAAGTGTTTATTAATATTCTATGAATATTCTATTGTTTGTCGCAGTGCACCGACTGAACGCCGCAGTGCAGTGACTGATCGCCGGGTGATTTTCCACGGCACTTGCTTACTGCTCCACCTGGGTCATATTCATGGTGCGATGTGGGAAAACTGGCTATCTACAAACAGCTCCCGGCAAAGCGAGATTGAACCCTCTTCATTCTGTTTTATGTACTGCATGTGTGCATGCGCACCTGCATGCTTTCACGCGTATGTACACACTAGCATAGTTTCCAGCACTTTGGTGACCTCCCGGTGGCATTCCTTTTAATGGCTTGTGAGATTCTAGCGCCACTGACCAGCGCAGAATGAAGCCTTGACATTTTTACTTTGGGAGTGCTTGTTGTGCGGGTGGCGAATGACCTTTTGCTGCTATATAGCATGATATATCTTGGTTTGCGCTTTGGTAACCTCATCACGAGGTTACTATATGCGAATCGGGATGGCGGACACGCTGTCTGCCAAATGCAAATTTTCACCATTGAACAGAGCAAGCTAGCGGATATCGCAATGAAAGTTAACAGAACTGGTGTTTGCTTTGCGCGAATTTTAACCACTGAATAAAGGAATTGCCAGAAATCTCAGCAAAAGTAAGCATATGAATTGCATGGTTGCATGCATTTGCACCATGTGACAAACGAGCTGCATCATGCAATTCACCCCGGAAACGAAAAACGCCTTTTCAGGAAACGTTGATGCAAGATTCAATGCTCAGCAGCTCTTTCCCCAGCAGAACTTCAATAGACAGCGCTTCGTTGCATCCAACTTTTCCGTGAGGTTGTTTTACATGATGCTCATGGAATTCGTTAAGACATCCGCTCATTAAATTGTGGCAAAACACAGTAATATAAAGTGCTAAGTCCTGTATCACCTTTGACAAACCACTGTTTTCAAATTTTGTGTCTGCGGCGCCAATTTTGCCAGTGCAGTTTCCACAAACGTTTCCCCACTTCCAAGTTTCAATGTTCCTTCATGTTTGAAATAGTTTCAAACAGTCAGTAGGCACTTTTATAAGTCGTGAAGCACTTATAGGTACCTGATGAGTAATTACTGCCCCCACCCGACGAGTGGCCGCGCATCTCCCAAAAAAAGGGAACGGGGCACACGGACGCCCCAGCCCCCATCCACATGCATCCCACCCCGTTCATTCCGATCCACATGAATTCCATCCAACGCCAACATTACGCGCCCTCCGGCCAGCCCAACCTGTCCCAGTCGCCTCAGCCGGTGCTCCCCGCTCCAAGCCCCGTCGCCTGCCCCACACAAACACACGTGCGCGAGAGAGAGTAAGAAGCCGCAGACGCAAAACAGAACAGCGCTCTTGCTCAACGGCCGGCGGTAGCCATCAATGGCTCAGCGGATCAGTCAATAGCGAGGCGAGCGAAGAGCACCGCGGCACGCGCACGGGGAAAGGCGGGACATAGGGGAAGCCAGCATCTGCACCGAAACAGCCCAGCGCGTTGCCGACCGGCTAGCGCTCTGCCCAACGGTCGGTGGCGCCAATCAACTGCGCAAACAGTCAGTCGCGCAAGCAATTCACATGAGCAGCCAGACGCCTTCGAGGGGGCAAAGCAAACGCCGGGTGGCGCGGAAGGGCTGGGCAGAGCGGAGGGTCCCGCGAAAGGAAGAGAGAAACCGCGCCGTAACCGCCCGACACCGTCCGAAGGTCTCGGGCCGACATCCCTCGCGAGGTCCACCCCCGTTCGGAGATCCAAGGTGCCAATGCACCCTCGCTGCCCGCCGGGCTAAATTTCTTCGAAGTCGCGCTCCGACGACCTTTTGCATCGCAGACGCTGGCCGCGAAGGCCAAGGAGGATGGTTTGGTTCGCTCTGGGATCTGCAGCTGGCTGCGGCCTCTTCGGCAGTTTAACGCTGGAGGTTGGGCAGCAAACAACGTTCGCTACCCATCCAAGCGCAGAGTGGCCCGTGGCGCATGGGACAGCACAGACCAGATTGGCAACCTGTTCAACCGCACAGAGATCCGCGCAACTCGGAGTGCACGAACCGCATTCGCTACCTATTCAAGCGCAGGGAGACCGGGGGCTCCCACGACGCCAAGCCCCTGAAGGAGGGTCGCCTCCCAGCCGGCGCGCATATCCGCATCCACCGCCGGGCAACGTCTTCCCGACCCCACGACCCTCACCCGCGCCGTGCGCCGCGCCGCCCGCCAGCAGGCACGCCGCCAGAAGCAGCAGGCGCCGCCATCGCGCGCCTTTGGTCGCCATTCCCACGGCCCGCTCGAGCCCCACAAAAGCCCCTCCGGTCGCCGCCCCGCTCTCAGAACACGGCAGCACGGTCGATTTGATGGCGAACGAGCTCGGGGCGGCTGGGCAAAAGCTTTCAGGCCGCGAGGCTGGCTCTCGGGGGAGCGGAGGGGGCGACTGAGGGACTGCGTTTGCCCTGGGCCGCCTGCAGGGCGCCTGGATTTTTTTGACTTGCGCGGGGAGGCGCATTTGTTGAGGTGGGGTGCGTGGGCGGGGGGGAGGGGACGGGCCGAGCGTAGCGTGGGCGAGGTGACGTAGATTATCGTAGCGCAGTGATGCGCCCGTTGGGATGGCAGTGTGAGGAGGGGCACGGAGGAGCAGATACAAGGGGGGCCTTACAGGAGGGCAAAGGGTCAACACCGTCATGTCACCCCCATGTTCAACATATCCGCCGCATTCGCGCATATATCCCCAGGGTACTGCGAGTGTCCACTACAAGACATGAATATATCGCAGCAATATCCCCAAGCTACAAGAAGCCGAGTCGGACGCCCTCGTCGTATCAATTCTCCAATGGATCAATTCAAGGGATTTTCAAAGGATCTTTTCTTTGGAAACAAATGTCATGGCAACTCTCAACCACATCAACGGGGGACATACAGAAATCCATATGTTGGATAAAACTACATGCCAATGTTGATAATCATCAATAGTCAGACCACAAAACCACACAACAATGCACCATTGATCAAGCCACATAGGCAATTGTAGTGCAACAATCCAACTAGTTGGTGCCATGTGGAGACAACTCAAGTATGCTCATCTTTTCATGAGCATCTCTCAAGTGATAATATGGAAGTAGTAGGGATTTATTGGTTTATTGTTCAATCACACTATGTTCAATAAATTCAATTATTATGTTAACCAAACCATTTAATGAAAAGGACGATCATTGATATTACCAACACTGAAAAACAGAAATCGGTATTTGTTACTTTTCTATTGCATGCCTATTCAGATTTCCCATATTTCATTAGATCGATTTGAACAAACAAAGGTATACAACAGTGGCAATACACATTATAAAAATGCATCTTGATATTATTGCAAATTGCATTGCCCGTACATGAATTTCAATTTTGTATATTGCTCATTATTTTCCCATACTTGGTTGAGGGAGGTGGAAGTCGGAGGGAGGCATGACCCACGACTACGACAATAGTCGCAATATGCTTTGTAGTAGAATACATGAAGGTGGAGGCCACATTTGAAATACAGATTGTGGTGCAGGTCCCAGCATAAACAATTCACGGTAAACCATGCGAGGGTTGCACAACAGAGACCGCAACACTCTTGGAAACCCAAAATGAGGCACTTACACGGTGTGCTTCAAGCATACTTATACCGCACGCATCATCGTATCATCAAATGTATAATTTACAGGTCATAATGTACATTATTCTCAACTTACTACCGGCCACTGTAAATGGCACTATCGACATCAATTCTCTTCCCCCCCCCCTCTGCTGCGCAGAAAGCTGCTAACCCGGGTGTGGGCGCTTGAAGACCTCATATCCCGGGACCCAATGCCGGACCCCAGGCCGGTAAGGCCTGGGCCACTCACCGGGAGCCCGTACTGGGGGTGTTTATCCCCAGTACCGGTGGTCACCTTACCCGCCTGCGGAATAGCCTAGCTCTAACCCTATACTAAGGTGACCGTAACTCCACTGGGGCCGGTCACCACAAGGTGGCCCTTGATTACTATACTGAGGGGTTACACCCCCCATGTACCGGTACGGCGGTGTCCCCCCCACCCCCCTTTGAAATTGTTTGTCCACAAACACAAGCACAACACTACTGAAATTAAAGGTGACATAAAATATGCTAATATACCAACAATCACCATTGAACAAGGTATTTAGAGTATTGCATAACACTTATATTCTGCTCAAAAACAACTACACCAAACTCCATGCAAACCCATCACTAACGCCTCTTTGATTTCCTTGGCTTTGAGTGTTCTTTTATATAATTGTTTGCTGATGCTACAAAATTTCGGAATGAAGATCACTGCATTGAGGAAGTTTAAACTCAGGCTTCTATGTCACCTCATGCAGTAGGTTGTTTTTCCAAGTTATAAGGTAATGCTTTTTAGCTCCAGTGCCTTTGTGTCTAATAATTGCCTTAACCTCATACTCAAGGTGCCCCTCAACCTTTATTGGAGAAGGCGGATCCATATTCCGTTGAAGCTTTGAGCTCCTTTCAAAATGCTTCAACTTCTCCCTATGGAATATAAAATGCACGTGCCATGTTGCTGGAAACTCAGCAGTGTATACTACAGAACTAATTATGTTACACACACTTGCCTATGTGGGGGACGCCCTACTAACGGTTTTTTGGTGTGGGGGACGCCCTGCCCGAGATATGGCAACATTTCCCCAACCAAACTATATTATTATATGACATGGGAGAAGGTCGGGGTGGTCCCGCCTAGGTCCCCATAAAGACCTAGATGCCTGGCAAAGTGGGTCCGCAGCTCAAAGAGGGCAGGAGCCCCACACCAACAATGTTGTGAACATTTGACCATTGGGAACTTTGGGACACAACATTTAGCTATCGGGTCTCGGTGCACTAGGGTGAAGTGGGTAGAGTTTATTTTCTCTCGGTTCCTTAGGGCATTGAGATATGACCATGGGGGCCTGAGGGATTGTCTTTGTGTTCTAAGGGATTTCTGGGGACATTCATTACTTTATTGTGGAGTTAAAATGGGCCTACCAAATTAAGAAGATAATTGAACAATCTGGCATAAATATGGAGTATTGTACTGTTGTAACAATCCGTTTCGGGTTCCTCGCCTGCCTCACCCGCCTGGGCAAGTCCTGGGCGCGCCCCGCAGCGCCACCCTCTCGGGGGTGCGCTGCGGGTGCGTAACAAACAACCTTTATGTATCATTTGGTTTCCAAGCTACTTGAGGGTGGCCCACCCGCTTAGAGGTGGCCACCCGGATCCGTTAATAGTGGACGGGGGCTGCCGTCCGCTAATATCCGTTAATTTAGCAGACCACGCCCTCTCTGTTGCTGATGTGGCACGGATGGCAGCGGACGGCTGCCCCCAATCAGCGGACTCTGCGGATTCCGCTTGGGTGTTAACGGATATTCTCTTACGGACCGGAAGCCATATACCCCATCTACTAATCTAGCGGATGACAACGGATGTGTGTACCGAATCAGCGGATGACAGCAGAGCCCAGGCAGTAAGTACTGATTTCCTAATCTGGGGATCGGGTTGATTTCCAGCGTGGCTCAGCCAGGGTCCACATACAACGGACGTTGGCTGTGACTACACACATATTTTGTTGCCCTCCTGTTGCCATCCACCATCTCCAACGCCTGCCGCCCCACGCTTGGGTCATGGACCCACCAGGTGAGGCATACTGTGGCACAGGCAAGGCAAGGGGACGCCATTAGTACCGCCGCCATGGCGGGAAATGCCGGGCCGCGCGGGGGAAGGGGGGTGTCGGATGATCTATTGGCTGAAAACCTGTGTGTGGCCGGATTCAATCCGCCGGTGATGCACAGGCACAGCGCGCTATCCTGTTTTGTGGCCGTAACGCCACGCCGCGGGCGGAAAACTAAAATGGGGTGTTGGGGGTCTGGATGACGCTGGGTTTAAAAACCTATGTGGCCGGATTCAATCCGCCGGTGATGCACAGGCATAGCGCGCTATCCTGTTTTGTGGCCAGGGCAATGCCCTCAGTACCGCCTGCTGTGGCGGGAAATTCCGGGCCGTGGGGGGTGTTGGGGGGGCCTCAGATGATCTTTTGGCCGAAAACCTATGTGTGGCCGGATTCAATCCGCCGGTGATGCACGTGTGCACGCCAACCGCCAGGCCGGCAGTTCTCAATACCGCAAAACGGGCCGGGGGTGTTGGGGGGGGGTCCCGGATGATCTGTTGGCTGAAAACCTGTGTGTGGCTGGATTCAATCCGCCGGTGATGTACAGGCATAGCGCGCTATCCTGCTTTGTGGCCAGGGCAATGCCCTCAATACCGCCTATTGTGGCAGGAAATTCCGGGCCGTGGGGGGTGGCACATGGCCACCAACCTGGTGCCACATGGCCGGGTGGGAAGATCATGGCCGGGGATTGACTTCACTCCGGGATTTTGCCTGCGACCCTCACCACCTGTGTTACTGTATTCGCAGAGTCCTCAGGCGCTACC